TTGAAATTTGTATTACCTCATGCAGAACTCGGAGTTTTCTCCTTAGTACGTCTTCTGTCCTCTTCCTCCTCCTCCTGATATCTTCAAGGCAGGCTTGAGTTCAGTATCTTTCTAATAGCTTTTTATACTTTTTTTTTTCCTCAGATGTCTACCCATGTGATCAAATAGTGTTGCTGGTGAAAGTGTGTTTGGTAATCTACTTTTAAATACTGGTGGTTACTGAGAAACCTCAAAAGATAAAGCCAGCACTTCAAGAGTTAATATGTTATTAGGAGGACAGGAAATCTGGCAACTATTGCAGAAACTAGACCTAATGGTGCACACAAACAATTTGTCAGTCTTGGTAAATGTGAATAGCTTTCCGCAAAGTGGCTGCTTTTGCTTTGTTTGAACAGCCTAAACTTTTCCTTTTTGGACTTTAAATCTTAGAAGTGAAATGTGATCCACATATTGAATCAAAATAATTTAATTCAAAACATATTTTGATTGGAACAAGGTTGACATGGAAAGAAACTCTAGAATAAAAAAAAAAAGTTGAAAGGACTTTCTATCATATATTTAGCAGGAAAATTTGAAACAGTTCTAATTAGGCTGAAAAAAACAGCCTTCTTCATTGTAACTTACAAAGGTCATATATCAATGTTAAGGCAGTATTACCAACTTGTGTCTGAAAGCCTGCACATGCAAACATAATTCCGGTTGTTTGGTTTTGTTGGTTTGGGTTTTTTTTTTTAAATGTACATGCACGCACATACTTCCAAGCTAGAATACGTACCTAGTTTAAAGTAGTTACCTGGTACTGCAGTTATGCGGGTGCTTTGTTGTGTTCAAGAAGAGTATTTTCCATGTCAAAATTGTGTTTGTGCTAAAAATGTAACTCATGCTTTTCTGTTCATACATAAATACTTTTCAAATGGAACGTAAAAGAAGAGATTCAATTATTTTAAGTGTTTCAAAGGAAATTCCTTACTTCAAAGAGGAATTAAAATATTTAGCCCATTAAAGGTAATAGGCAATTATTTGTACTTGAGATTTGTAATTTCTTACTTGCTGATGTAGTATATTCTTGGGGTTTTGGAGTTGGGTTTTTTTTCAATTGAGAGAATAAGAAAGATTATTCATGTATGAGAAGCAGTTTTGGTTTCTCATTGAAGTTTCTACTTTCATTTTAACTATATAAAACATATTTTGTATAGGAAGGACTTCTGTCTTTCAAGTAAAAGTTACATGCATGCTTTATGCTGTGCTTCAACATTACTTTGCTTTAATCAGCATAGGAATAAGGCAAGCAAGTCTGTGGTCTGTTTCTGAATAGCTCGATTATGAATAAATATCTGTGTTGGTGAAAAGAAATACAGTTAATCTTTTCATCTAATTTCAGCATTGGAACATCCCAATCTCAAGCACAGTATATATTCATTTTTAATAGACATAATTTCGTATGCTGTATGTCATTACATAATCTAAACCAGAAAGAAAAGTAGAGGGCAAAAGCCAATAGTAGTCACTTTAAAGATACAAATCTTGATTCCAAGGGTATAATATTGTTTGGGAAAATACATCATAATAAATGGTTGGCGTATTTATACTGCAAAAAGGAGAAGTCTTTCCTAACCTGCTGGTTTTATGTTTTTGTTGTTCCAACCACGTTTTACCAAATCATTTGTATCAGTATTAGACTGATATTAGTCTTTGCTTGCTAGCAGGAAATTAGTCTCCGTTCATTCCTTTCAGAAAACAGGGCAGAAAAAGATGCACTGAAAATAATGAATTTCAGAGTCGTTCATGAAGTAGTTTTGATTGCACATATTTAGTGACATCAGATCATGCATTTGAAAAATATTTATGAATAAACTAAAATTTCCTTGTAAGATCAAAGCTTCGATTTGTTGATGTGTCTGAAGCGTTTCTACCTTGGGAATGGAGAAATGAAAGTTACTAATAGGTGTTTGTGTTTGACATCTGTATACTGTACTTTTTAGCATATCTCAAGTGTTTTAGCCTCTGCCTAATAGATCTCATTAAAGAAACAGATATCAGCCCGAAGACAGTTTGTCAAAGTTAATATGAGTCCCTGTGGACAGAATTGACAATTTGTGTGTGGCTTCACATGACGGTCTTTTCATGGTCTTGTTTGATCCTTTAACAATTGGGCATTACTCACTGATCTATTTTACAATAACTCAATAGGATTGAATATTACTGTACTATGCTGGACATTTTAGAGGATTTTCTTGTTTTGCACATTTTCCTCAGAGCACGCAGTAAATGATGTACTTGGTCTGCTGTGGGAGCGCTAACAATTGATTGGTTTGCTTTAAGAGCAGCATGGGAAGGATATTAGTATCCCATCGCTGCATGCCGTATTTAACTTGAGCCTTAATGAGCACTGGCTGTCCTAGATGCTTAAGTAATCCTAAATGCTTAGCATTCGATACCCTTGGTTTAGTTTTGCAAGAGGTAAATGCTAACAGTAACATTAAAAAAAAAAAACAAACCTCATTTTTAAAACTGGATAGTTATGCAAATTGGAACTTTTTCACTTCTCAAACTTTTTTTTTTTTTAAGGAGTACCCATACTTAAATAGTATATACCAGTGTGGCTATAAAGTCTGTCACACATACTGGTACATTGTGTTGTTTTCCTGGAAAGTCTATTTTATTTTTTAATCATTATGCAGACTGTTAACTATTGTTCCTCCATTGATTGTGTCATGGCATAAGCACTTCCCTCCAACCAAGAGCTTAACTGTGAACCTGAAATGACGGGCAAGCTTATTTAGCCTTTGAATTTGTGTGCTATATTTGGTCTGTCCTTCAGAGTCCCGAGTATTGATGCTGACTGTAGTCATTTTTTATTTAGCCCTTTTATTTGTGATTTGGCAAATAAGAAAGAAGATTTAAAATGGCCTAATGTGGAAAAAAAATAGAAATAAATGACCTACTTTTGAATATGTATACATTACAAATGTAAAATAATTTTAAACTTGAAAAAGAGAAGTAAATTCAGGATGGCTCCCAACCATTCCGTGAAAAGGCAGAGAGGGTGTTTCAGTTTTGCTTTTTTAAGAAGAAGTCAGATTTATATATCTGTTGATCCAAGGAGATTGCAGAGTGATACTCCTTTAGTTTTTCATGTCCAAATGCTTTGTGAGGGTGATGTGACCCATTACAAATCTAGCTTTTGAAGAAAAGGAAAATATGAACAACCTTTGCACATGCTAAATATATATACACATGTATAAAATCACAAATTCTTAACGCTGTTTTTCCTGACATTAAACAGTTACAATGATAACAGTAAGTATATTCTAGGGTTAATTTTTTTTTTTAGCAGGATAGCAAGAAAATTAATTCCTATCATTGTCATTTGCTGAGCCCTGTAGAATTTTATGGCTGCACATTGTAGTATTATGGACACTCATGAGACTCCTGACTGGTTTTATCTTATTAAACAATTTTGAAATCATTAATTTTTAATTGGCCCACTTGCGGTTTTTTATAGTTTTAATTGTGTGTCTGTGTCTAAATGTTGGGGTTTTTTAATTGAAAAAAAAAAGAAAAAAGTAAGAAAGAAAAAATCCTGTCTAAGCATATATGTTGTAAGGTATTTCCATATGATCATCCAAAGAGATACTATACTGTGTGGTAATTCATTTTAAAGAATGCTTTCAGCAATTCAGTGGCTGGGAATCCTAATAAAAATAATAATAAAAAAAAGAATGATATGATGTTGAAGATATGTACAGGTCTTTTCTTGATTGAAAGTTCTAATTAAGTGAATCGAGGAAAATTAACTGAAATTAGCTGTCAGAAAGTCACATTTAAATGAGTGATGATCTGGTGTGGCAGTAAACATTTAAATGATATAAATTGCCATTTAAGTGTATGGTTTAATGTTTGTCATGCATTAATATGACATGAGACTGCAGTGACAATCAAGCAGCTTGCTCTAATTTGAACATATTTAGGGCTTTTGTGTGGAGTGCACCACACAAATTAAGACAATTGCTGGTTTTATGTGTCAATTTAAATGTTGTTTTCAGGCATCGGTTAATGAAACAAACCCATCATTTTTGTGTGCAAATTGCAGAGTGATTTCCTTGGTTTTCAGATTAATTTCAACTTCCTCTGCTCAAAATTAGGAATTTCCTTTACAAGAAAAATGCCATTCGTTTCGTTAGATGAAAAGAATATCAGACTTTGGTACGTTGTTTCATTTGCTCATTCAAATAAGAAATATATTGAATCCTCTGTATGAAATAGAGAAAGCAAATCCTGCTAGTGATTTAGTCTAGATTAATTTACTCCTCAGATGACAATGATTTTTAAGTTATCTTTCAATATATTTGTGCTGTATCTAATACCATTATGAGAGTTTCATTATAGTTTGGATGCTTTTGTCTTGAGGATTGGGTTGTAACTGGATAACATCGTCAGAAAAGTGGCTTAATTGCTCAGCATAGTAGTGTTTCTATATAGGCTTTTATAAGTGACATATTCAAGAAATGCATAAAAGTAATAGCAAGTTGATATTCCTGCATGTTAAATAATTTGTACCCTAACATCCCTAGTTAGTTCAGCTTTCCCAAGTCTATCAATCTTCTCTCTGTCTGTCAGAATCAGATTATCATGCTGGTAGTATTCACTGTGCAGATCACACAGAAAAACACGATTTCATCTTGAGAGTTCATAAAAACATAGCCCGGCTGTCCATAAATGCATAAATGCTTTCCACTTACTGCTTTTTTTCTTACTCCCACTATTAAAGTTTAAAAAGCAGGGTCTTCTGGTCAGCAGGGAGTAGGGCATGAGACTCTGGCATCTATCACAGGGCCCACTTCTTTTTTGGATAGAATGTATAAAACACTGTTACCAATTCTGTATTTAGACTTGTTAAGATAATTTTGTATGCTGTTAAAAAAATGCTTTTGCTATTACTAAATGATGACTATGTGGCAAACTCAAGTTTATGTATTTTGTGTGTGTTTTTTTCACAGGCATTAGAAAGTGAGTTTGTTTCCTGCCAGCTTCACCAGTGGATTGATCTGATTTTTGGCTACAAACAGCAAGGGCCAGAGGCTGTTAGGTCCCTGAATGTATTCTACTACTTAACTTATGAAGGAGCTGTTAATTTAAGTTCAATAACGGATTCCGTATTGAGAGAGGTAAGTTTGTACTTTAAATATAGGAAAGGAAAATTTCTGTTAACCACTGCAGTGTTGAAAGTGTAAAGACTTCATGTTGTTCAAGGCTACCAGCGAATGTTCAAATCTCTGCGTTCTCTTGTGGTTTGGCTACAGGCCAGTCAAATGCAAGGTGCCTGAACCAGTTGTCACACCATGCAAAATTAAGAGAACAAGCATGCACGTTGTTCTTAAACTTTGTGCACCTGGATTCAGCACAAACTGGATGCCAATATAAAAATAAATGTTCAAGGATTGCTTCGGTTGCTGAGGGCCGTCATTTTGTTCACTAATACTGGATCCTGATGGCAGAAGGCAGTGAGCAACCTTGATTTGGCTTGCACTTTTGAATTTGCTCTTACAGTTTTAACAATTCTCTTTTAATGCAATCCTGTATATGTAGTACACAGCAAACACCATAGTTTTGTAGCTTCCATTATTTTTATTTAGCTTGCTATCAAATTAATAATAACTCATCCTGTATTTTTCATATGCAAAAGTAAATATTTAAACATTGGAAAGATCAGTAGTCTCACTCAGACTCAGCACCATTCAGAAAAATCTGTTTGCTGAAGTATCGCTTAGGATACTGTGGGCTTAAAGATTCTCCCTCCTCCATCTAAACAGCTGTTTTTTAAAAAAAAAAAAAGGGCAGGGTGGGGTAGGTGATTAAAACAGATTTTTCATTGGTTTTATGTCCTCGATACATTGGTATTGAGTATAGCTGCAAGTATATTCATTATAGAATAAATGTAACTGGTACTTCATTATAAAATATTCTGAGGCCCTGAGAACAAAGTAATATGAATGCTATCAACAATTTTATTTAAAAGGGTGGCTAGATGTATACTAACAGGGAATATATGTCAGCTGAATGAAAAGAGGAATGAAGACATTTCTGCTTACAAATACTAGATTTGAAGTTCACTGTAGAATTCTAGGCTAACTAATTGAAGTTTTTGTTATTTATTGCTTATTGAAAGAAAGTATGAGAAGTAAGCATTTATTTTTTAAAACAGTACTATTTTCTCTGTACGTACTGGCTATCTGACTGTTTGGGGCACCTTGACAGACTCTGCAGAGAAGGTCACATCATAGCAACACTGTGGGTTGTAGCTGGCTTGTGGGTGCAGGGGAAAGGTTTTGCGGGTACGCAGGGCACGTGGGGTACACAAAGACTGGCTTAAGTACCAAAAGTGATGGCTGGATGTTGTCATTACATGGGCTGCCATCAGTCTGCAGACTGCATCTTGGTCCACTTTGAGCTAAAATACAGATGTTGCACATAAATACATTTAATTCAGCTAAGAGAAGAGATACTGGAACACTTGGCTTTTAAGAAAAAATGTCATCATCTGGGCTTGAAACTGTTATTGACCCAAGGGAGTGGATGTTCACCCTGTCATGTTTTCATTTCATTGATGATGTTTGTCCACTGTACACTGACAAGGAAATATTCTTACCTTGTAAGAATATTTGTTAGACTCCTGAAGTGCTAGGTTTAAGTGTGAGCTAAAAAATAGACAGGGCATTGTGTGTAATTTGTTCTTAATTTTGGTATTAAATAAACCACCATTTATTACACTAATAATTCAAGTAATACTAATCAAAACAGCGGTCTGCCACACACAATTTTTATGTAGTTTTTAATTCTTCTAGAACAGGTCTATTATCAGTTTAACTGTAATCTGTTCTACTTGTGTCATAGCCTGAAAAAAAGTAATTTAAGACCAGGGAAGTTAAAAATCTGTCTGGAAGCATGCTTCATCTCAGTTAGAGAGGCCTTTGTACTTCTATAAATATGTTAATATATTTTGTTACCAAATCTTTTGAATTTGTCGTGTTTTTATTGTACTTCACTACAATGTTTCTTATTTTTGAGTTGCTCTATGCTGCCTGAACTGGCTGGCGTATAAAAATGAAAACAGGAGAGGGAGAATAGCAGTGCTGTTGAGTTCATAATAATGGAGTAGCTTAGCAGCAGCAAAATTTCAAAACACTACTGATGGTGTCAAAAATACATGCTGATGAATGCAGGCAGCAGAATGAATGGTATCTTGCAGCACTTCTGTGCTGAGTTACTTGAAGATTGGTCCAATGGAATATTTTTATTTAGTATTTTTAAGCAGGTCAGTAAAACAGTAAAAAGATTCCTGTTTAGTTAGGTATCCCTTGCTATTTACATGTATTTTGTAAAACATTTTTTTTTATTATGTAAATGTGTATATGTAATTTGAAATGGTACGTATGATCAGCTCTGATATGATATTGACAGTGCAGAGATTTAATGACTATCACCACCAATGGCGAGTTACGCTGGTTTTACTTGTGAGTAGAGATGAAAGTAATAAAAAATCTGTTTGTGTGTATATCTGTGTGCATAATCATTCTATATCTATGTGCTAAATGAATTTATCATGCACCTTTGACAGCCTCACCTTCTTCCTGCTTACTAATCCATCTCCCTGATGACCTGCGCTAACGTTCTGTACTGCCGAGCAGCTTCAATCAGCATTTATTTTTCTCCTTCAGTCAGCTTGCCAGAAAATATTTCTTCTTTTCTCCACCAAATTCCTAGTTAGAGGCCAAATGCATTTCTGATCTGGACAATTAACAGTATTTTTAGGCAGGCACAACGCCTCAGATTTAGTATCTGTTATTAGGCAACTATTAAACTGGAAATTTTACTCTGGATTTATTGGTTTCAAAAGGATGCTTTTGGCTTTCTCCTCTCGGTAAGGTTCAGGGTTTGGGTCTTTAAATCTTGACAGTTGTACCAGAAAATACATTTTTATTTGCAAACCTAAAACAAGGAGAAGCTTCTGTATACTCTGAGAATTGCAAGTTACTGAGGCTTTTAGGTTCATATGGAGATAATAGCATGTGCTTAAACCATGGCAATTTCTCCACATAGATAGTCTATGCTAAGCCTGGCCCACATCAGTAATGAGAATCCTATAATGCATGGGTTTCTGAAGTATCTTCACAGATATATGTATGGATATTGGTGACCTAACTCATCAGGAGGGGCCACACACAGAATAATAGTGGAAGGAACTGAGGAGTGGAGTAGTTTAGGTTAATGCAGAATTTCCTTAGGTCTCCTAAATGGCTCCAACTGGCACCTTTATTTTTATAGGCAGTCAGGTTATATATATTACAAGAAGGAAGCACTCGTCTAGGAAGGAAAACTACTTGATTAAAACCATATTCCACCTTTCTTTTTTTTAAACTGAAAATGTAGAACTTTTACATCCTCTCATACTGCTGTGAACAATTTTTTCCTGCCATTCGTTCTGCCTATGGGAATAAAGGAAGTAAAGTATTTTGAAAGGATCTGACTGCTATAATAGAAAATTTTAAACTAAAATGCAAACCATGGGCCACATGCTACCTTTTGGCAGATAAACCCTGGGGAGTGCAAAGCTTGCATAATTCAAAGGCAAATCTCAGGGGGAGGGGAGTAGATCAAGAGAGAAGGGTTTGAGTCGCAGCCAGTGGGGGAAGGGAACTGTGACCAGGAGGAGCAAGGCAAGAGATCCAGTGTATCTGCTGGCATATCTGTGCACTACTCATCCCCGCAGAGACCATTCCTTCGTCCTCTTCTTTTTTCCTCGAGCCATTTTAGCAGCCTTGTCATTGACTCTGGTCCTTGTACTTGTGTACCTTGCTGAAGGAGGTTACAACTGCAGAGGGAAGTTGCTGTTCAGTTGACAAGCAGTAAATATCCCATCTCCTTCCAGTGGAAAATACATGATTTGCCAGCAGAGGTATGCTATATGACTACCTTCTGTTGACTCATTCTTGAACACCGCATTTTGACCTGTGGAACTCCCAATCAGAAGATCTGGTGTGGAAGGGCTTTTTTGTTGCCTGTGTGGAAGAAGCAAGGAGGCACGGTAGCACAGATAAATGTCATCCAACCATTCTGGAGAGAATTCACAGCACCTTCTTATCACAAATTCTGCTCTCTTTTTGCAATGGCTGTCCAAGAATGGGGAAAAAAAAAAAAAAAAAAAAAAAAAAGAAGTAGACTAAGATCTAAGCCATTCAGACAAGCAACTGATTAAAAGGTGAAGCACAATCCATAGAAAATAATTTGTATCTTGGACTGATTTGTGGGTATTCCATTAGTGTCTTGGTCAGAAGAATAGAAATTCCTCTTGTCTCTGGCGTAGTGTAACAAAGGATGATCATGAATCTGGGCTGCACTCGGAGTTCCTAATTAAAAGTCCATTTCTCCACTGATACCCCTATGTAGCTAGCATAAACACTGGATAAGTGTAAAGAAAAGAGATGAAGTTAATAGTGGGAAGGCAAAATGTTACTTGGAGAATACGTCATTGATTTACTACAGGAACCCCTGAACCTCAGGAAGCATACTAAATTTTGTACCGTGCTTATCAAAAAGCACCTAACCGTATTCTTTAAATAATTTTTAAAATATTATCTGATATGATCTTTGTAGGCAGCAATGAAGGAAGACTGATGATTTTTAAATCAGCAATAATAGTTTGAAAAAAGATGAGAATAAGTCCCATCCAATTAATACCCCACATACTTTCATTAAGTGATTTGCTTTTAGCCTGAGATGATTCAGTTGGTTTATACTTCTTGCTTTGAAGAGAAGGTGCCTTTTTGTTACATGAAGGTAGTCTGTTTAACATTAGGAAGCACAGCTTTCTCCATTCTATCGGCACCTTTCTTTCTACTGTTGATATTTTATTTCCATATGAACTAAGGAGTTTCAAAAATTGTGAAGAATCAGCTTAGACATAGCATTTGGTATGTTATTTGAACGTGCCACTTCTGATTATATAAAGAGAGGAAATAATTCTTTTATTTTCAGTTTTAAGGCACACGAGATAAATTATTTCATGGATAATAGCTTTTAAATGTTGCCCAAGATTAATATCTTTGGGTAAGTTTTATGCATCTCAGACCTACCTCTTATGAGTCTAATTTTATTTTTAAATATTTAC